TCTGAGGTCAACAAATACCATTGTCAGCAAGCAGCAGAACAATTTCAAATCTAGATTTGACTCTGAAGTCTCCACCACACTTTCACACAAGTTAAATCAGAAACAGTAAAACCAGAATTTCAGGGAATCCACATATGTAGATGTGAGAGCCATCTAGGTTGCCAGTGGCGGTAAAAATACCTATTGTTTTGAGTAAGACTTTTAATAAGTATAAAAAATATATATATATCAGTTGCCAACTTCTGGAGAATAGCTAGTAGCAAGCAGAACAGGACAAAGTAGTACAAGCAGATGGCATGCTCTTCAGCACTGTCCTTCAGGACCACACACCAAAGTGGCAGAAAAGAAATACAGATCCTAGCCGGTTGCAGCAGCTCACACCTGTAATCCTAGCACTTTGGGAGGCCGAGGTGGGGAGATCATGAGGTCGGGAGTTCAAGACCAGCCTGACCAATACAGTGAAACCCTATCTCTACTACAAATACAAAAATTAGTTGAGCATGGTGGCGCGTGCCTATAATCCTAGCTACTCAGGACACTGAGGCAGGAGAATCGCTTGAACCTGGGAGGTGGAGGTTGCAGTGAGCCGAGATCACGCCACTGCACTCCAGCTTGGGCGACAGAGTGAGACTCTATCTCAAAAAACAAACCAACAAAAACAGATTCTGCCTCCTAGTGTCAAGATTCATGGGAAAATGAGTGGTCTTTGCTGAAGGGTTTTTTTGTTTTGTTTTGTTTTTTTTCCTCTTTTCTTTTTTGCTTCTGCTGAAGGGTTTTTTGAAGTGGCATCTTCAAGGGAAAACCAGATTTCAGTTAAAGGGGCAGAAACCTGGGAGTTTTGGGGCATCATTTTGTTAGCGAGGACGGACAGACAGGAAAGGGCAGAGGAAGACAGGGAGGGGCTCAGCAGAGCAGTGGCTGAGCTCACATGTATGAGGGACCCTGGGGGCCCAAGGCTACATCAATGTAGAAGTACACATGGAGCTCTGCCTGCCACATCAGAAAGAAGTACAAAGGAAAAAATGCCAGGGTAATTCTTCAGTAGTAAGCTACATCTGTTTTGAAAACAGCAACAGGAGGTACTCCAAACACCTAGTATGTGCCAGGCATTCTGCAACAGCAATTCATCTTCACAGCAATGCCACAATCAACTCTATTTTACAGATGAAATATAGGTCTATGGAGTTAAAACCAGTCACTTGGCCACTCATGGCCAGAGCCAGAACTTAAAACCAAGTGTTGGCGGAGCGCGGTGGCTCACGCCTGTAATCCCAACACTTTGGGAGGCCGAGGCGGGCAGATCACGAGGTCACAAGATCAAGACCATCATGGCCAACATGGTGAAACCCAGTCTCTACTAAAATACAAAAATTAGCTGGGTGTGGTGGCTTGCACC